GCAGAAAATGCATTAGGCGGCTTATTGTGCACTGTAAAAAGCAAAATTCAAAAATTCATTAAAAAAAATTCTACAGTAAAAACTGCTCAAAATTTGGATTTCGTTAGAGTAGTAGCTCTACTCTATTGGGACAATGTCAAATTTAACGCACCCTCTGAGGCGGCCGAGAAACAGCGCCACGAAATGGGCAGAAAATGCATTAGGCAGCTTATTGTGCACTGTCTTAAGTGCAAAATTCAAAAATTCATTAAAAAAAAATTCTACAGTAAAAACTGCTCAAAATGTGGATTTCGTCAGAGTAGGAGCTCTAGTCTAATGGGACAATGTCAAATTTAACGCACCCTCTGAGGCAGCCGAGAAACAGCGCCGCAGATTGGGCAGAAAATGCATTAGGCGGCTTATTGTGCACTGTAAAAAGCAAAATTAAAAAATTCATTAAAAAAAATTCTACAGTAAAAACTGCTCAAATTGTGGATTACGTCAGAGTAGGAGCTCTAGTCTAATGGGACAATGTCAAATTTAACGCACCCTCTGAGGCGGCCGAGAAATAGCGCCGCAGAATAGGCAGAAATGCATTAGGCGGCTTATTGTGCACTGTAAAAAGCAAAATTAAAAAATTCATTAAAAAAAAATTCTACAGTAAAAACTGCTCAAATTGTGGATTTCGTTAGAGTAGGAGCTCTAGTCTAATGGGACAATGTCAAATTTAACGCACCCTCTGAGGCAGCCGAGAAACAGCGCCGCAGATTGGGCAGAAAATGCATTAGGCGGCTTATTGTGCACTGTAAAAAGCAAAATTCAAAAATTCATTAAAATAAAATTCTACAGTAAAAACTGCTCAAAATTTGGATTTCGTTAGAGTAGTAGCTCTACTCTATTGGGACTTTGTCAAATTTAACGCACCCTCTGAGGCGGCCGAGAAACAGCGCCACGAAATGGGCAGAAAATGCATTAGGCAGCTTATTGTGCACTGTCTAAAGTGCAAAATTAAAAAATTCATTAAAAACTAATTCTACAGTAAAAACTGCTCAAATTGTGGATTACGTCAGAGTAGTAGCTCTAGTCTAATGGGGCAATGTCAAATTTAACGCACCCTCTGAGGCGGCCGAGAAATAGCGCCGCAGAATGGGCAGAAATGCATTAGGCGGCTTATTGTGCACTGTCTTAAGTGCAAAATTCCAAAATTCATTAAAAAAAAATTCTACAGTAAAAACTGCTCAAAATGTGGATTTCGTCAGAGTAGGAGCTCTAGTCTAATGGGACAATGTCAAATTTAACGCACCCTCTGAGGCAGCCGAGAAACAGCGCCGCAGATTGGGCAGAAAATGCATTAGGCGGCTTATTGTGCACTGTCTAAAGTGCAAAATTAAAAAATTCATTAAAAACTAATTCTACAGTAAAAACTGCTCAAATTGTGGATTACGTCAGAGTAGGAGCTCTAGTCTAATGGGACAATGTCAAATTTAACGCACCCTCTGAGGCGGCCGAGAAATAGCGCCGCAGAATGGGCAGAAATGCATTAGGCGGCTTATTGTGCACTGTAAAAAGCAAAATTCAAAAATTCATTAAAAAAAAAATTCTACAGTAAAAACTGCTCAAATTGTGGATTTCGTTAGAGTAGGAGCTCTAGTCTAATGGGACTTTGTCAAATTTAACGCACCCTCTGAGGCGGCCGAGAAACAGCGCCACGAAATGGGCAGAAAATGCATTAGGCAGCTTATTGTGCACTGTCTAAAGTGCAAAATTAAAAAATTCATTAAAAAAAATTCTACAGTAAAAACTGCTCAAAATGTGGATTTCGTCAGAGTAGGAGCTCTAGTCTAATGGGACAATGTCAAATTTAACGCACCCTCTGAGGCGGCCGAGAAACAGCGCCACGAATTGGGCAGAAAATGCATTAGGCGGCTTATTGTGCACTGTAAAAAGTGCAAAATTAAAAAATTCCATCAAATACAGCTAAGATATAGAGCCCCCAATTGAGCCAACAATGCAATGGCTTTTTATACAGTAAAAAGTGAAATTGTGCATGATTATATTCAAGCAGATATAGGGTAAAACATCAGTAAAACCAAATAGGCCAACAATGTGATAACTCTTCTGTATTTTGTCAGATTGGGTCCATATCTTTCTAATGTACAGTAACCATGCAATGGCACTTTCAAGTCAATGCAATTGAATTTAATTCATACAGTCATTTGTATAACCCTTTTCACAATACATATAATTTCGAGGCAGCTTTACAGAAAATGCAGGTTTCTATGCTACAAAACCACAATAGGATTTAATGAGATGATATCAGAAAGTACAGTTATAAGATACCACAAATTATAGAATTTACAAATATCATATATGCATCTAAGCAAAATTAATGTGTATGTTAAAGCAATTATAAATAGATCATTTTGTATAATCATTCATGTTGGATGTTCTGGAGTCCTTGCAAGGGTATAGGTTTCATCTATTCAAATGTGCTGGGTCATCTGAAGTCTTCATAAGAGGCTGGATCCAAGCTGGAGCATAATCTCAGTACCTTGTGAAATTCTAATTTGTAATAATAATAATAATTTAAAAAAAAACATGTATTGAATACATTCAAATGATGTTATTTGCAATAATTAAAGAATAATGTAGGCCTAATTATATTTTTACAGACATTTATGTGTTATTATTATTTATTTACCTTTCAAAATACTTTATTATTCTTTTCTGAAGAATATAAACAATACAAACAGGGTCTCTAATAAGTGTGAATAAGTGAAAAACCACACGGTCCCTAAATTGAGCTGATGACATACAATAATTAAAGAATAATGTAGCTTAATTATATTTATGTGCTTTAATATTTGTACAGTCCATTTTCGCTGATATATCAGTGTTATTTGCTTTTAAACATTTTTTATTATCATTTTATTCGGAATATAGACCCAAAAGTAACACAATCCCTTTAAAAACGCGAAAAAGAGAAAACCGCACGGTCCCTAAGTTGAGCGTCAATAAGAAGCCAGCAAACGCGGAAGTTCGCGTCATTTAAGGTGGAACGGATAGCGTCAATAAGAAGCTGCGAATAAGAAGCTGGATTCAGCCTCGTAGTTTCGGAGGCAGTGTGCAAGTGTGATTGACATAACGTGAGGTCGTATTTATTTTTTTAACGTGCGAAAATTCTGGAGCGATAACATAACGTTTTTATGGAAATCCTCTGGAGGGTTAGGGAGGGGGCGAGAGGGGCACCTCAGCTGATGAGGGCAGAAGGGCAGTGGCTCTAGCCACCGGGCCACCCCCCTGTGCACGGCCCTGGTATTCAGGCATGGAGACGGCCAGAGGCACAGCTCTCGGCTCTCGGCACTAATTACGGATGAGGATAAGGGCACTGGAGCGCGTGGAGATTGTGGCGTGTTGCTTTTTTTAACCTCTTGCTGCTGAAGCTCAGTTCTTTGAAAAGGGGAGGAGAGAAATGACACTGAAGATGCAGAAAAATGTAATGGTTGGATAAGTGTGTGTGTGTAAGTGTAGGCCTGTATGTTTGCTAAGCATGTGAGGATTACATTTATTCCCTTTAAAGGAACAATTGAGTCATTTTTGAGAACTCTGTCATCTCATGTCCCATATGACTTTTTTTTTTATCCCACAGGAACACCAAACTTCTCTTTTTTTATTCAACAAAAGAGATGAATCTGGGTTATCAAGCTCTTAAAAGGACAGAATGTACAATAGAAAAAGTTTTTTTTTTGTTTTTGTTTTTTTGCGGTCCGGAGAAAAGTTTAGAGAAAACCGGTGGAAAAAGTTACACTAATAGATATGAAAATAATAAGGAAAAAAAAAACATTTGATTAAAATAATGACAAATAAATACATTAAAAATTATTCAAATAAATAAAATAGGATAAAATAAATATATAATCAAATATTTAAATACACAATAAACATTAGATTAAATAAACAAATAAATACATTATTTATGACAGTCAAGTACACGAAGTAGAAAAAAACGATGTAACTTATGAGAATATAAAATTTGACACATATTATTTTTTCATTATACACTAAAAAAATGCTGGGTTTTCAAATATGGATGAACCCAACGATTGGTTTAAATTGTTGTTGTTGTTTTTTAAGTGGCTGGGCTTGTCCATTTTTGACCCAAACATGGGTTGAAACAACTCAGTATTTTTTAGAGTGTATAAAATGATATTTATACATGAAATATACAGCAACGACGGTCGACGATTGGGGGATCCAAAAGTTTTAAAACCCCTGCCATAGAAAAGCAAAAAGTAGTGCATTTGTGTGACTACAACTTTGAACCATCCTTTCAACTACCCGCGAGATTAGTACAACTTTCCTTTCGTATTTAAGTTGGTAAATGGGACAAATATCATCTAAATTAAAAACTGCAAAATCATACATGACCCACTAATTCAGAACCATGGTTACAGAGATTGTACTTACATCTGGAACGACGGAAGGGAAAATTGTCCTGCAATGGAGGACAATTGGTATGGTGTTTGGGAATTATAGTAATCTCTTTTAAGCAATTTATATGGGTTAAATGCCATTTTATTGTTAAAATATGTTTCAGTCAGTCTGTCTGTCTGTCGTCTGATGTCACTCGCACTCTTTCGCGCGCTCTCTTTGTCTCTCTCTCCTCTAGCGACACCCAGCGGAAATAAAGTGGAGCGCAGGAGCGCGCTTGATCACGTGGGCTGCGTCTTCAAGACCTCCACTCGTGATTTCTGTCTCATTTATGACGAAGTAACATATTTAAGTGTTTGTATGTTCACGTGTTCCTTCCTTTTATATACATGTCTCAATAATTTTATTTTAGCCTACTGTTTGATAACCGCGGCAAAGAATGGCAATGGCAAAACAGTTTAGGAGATGATTTCTTTTATTTTTTTTTATTTTTTTTTAATATTTTTGTACAAAAATATTTTATATCATTATTTTATTTTGACTTGACTTGGCTAGGATACTATTTTCAGTCTGTGTGTCTGCGCACAGAAGAGTTTGTGTCGCGTGGGGAAAGTTGCGCGAGGAGCTCCAGTGCGCGTGAATCAGAATGTGATGAACACGGAGGATCATTTAATGATATCAAACTCATCATATCACATGAACAAGGATCACCTCATCAGATCAAGCACATCACCACGAGTCCCGGTCCTGCTGAACCGATCAAACGATATTCAACCGAAAGCGCGCCTGAAATCACCAACCTGATGATGATGATGGACGCGAAGGTGGAGAACTATTAACGGAGAAGGTAAAGTTACTCATTCATATAGAGTATTTTCCTTCATGACATTGCCGTGTTTTGAACATGCACCATTGCTAATACCTTGTTTAAATATAGCCAACTATGTTTCGTGTTATTATTTGAAGTGTAGGCTATCTAGTCTTGTATTTTGGATTACCATGTTCATCATTCAGTACCATGGTATTACCACATGAAATAGCACCACGGTACTTTCAGGATAGATAGATAGATAGATAGATAGATAGATAGATAGATAGATAGATAGATAGATAGATAGATAGATAGACTAACAAAAAGTGCCATGTGTATATTGGTAGTACCATGATCATCTTTGAATCACTTTGGTACTGTATATAAATATGATTATTCAGTACCATGGTACACTATATGTTAAAATATCACATTACTATATGATCCCATCAGTGTCACAAGATCCTTTCACGATATTTTTAAATAATAAATAGATAGACAAGCAAAAGTAGGCTACTTAAAAGTATTACCATGCTTTTTTTATGTGTTCAATGGCAATACATTGTTATACTTTGAAGCAACTTATTGGTACCATGGTATAGAGATATGGTATCCATTCAGTACCATGGTATTACTACCTGATGCCATCACTGTATTGTGGTACTTTTGAAGTACATCTGAACCCATGATGTCTAAATTCACATCCAAAGCATTATGTGTTTTTAGTCCAACTGACTTGTTTTGGTAGATTTTTCATTCAATACAGCCTGTAAAGTTATAAGATGATATTTGATGCAGATGTACAGTATGTTCATATAATCGATAGTTATTATCATTTGATACAGTCGGGATCAGATGTTGTTTCTCAGTCCACTTGCTTTTTGATCTCTGAAATGAGTCAGATTTCTTAAGGTAAGTCGATCTCCACCTCAGTTGTACTATTGTACTATTCAGTTGTATATTGTCCATTATAGATGTTTATATTTACACATTTTGGTTTGGAAATCTTCCCTTTTTTTTAGTATGTACAGTAGGTTTGTTGCCTGGTGGTAGTTAGACAGAAAAACCACCACAGCTCTGAGCATCTTTGGCTGCGGGGGTGGCAGTGTGAAAAGTGTGGTGGTGAGCCTCCTGGGTGAACACACACACACACACACACACACACACATACACACATGCAAGCAGTCTGTTCACACTTGCAATGGCTTTGTTTCGCAGCACTTTGACTGATGGATGAAACTCATCTTGTTTTTCCAGTGCTATAATAACCAGTCTATTAGAATGATGTCATTTGTGCTGTCATGTCATAATCGCTCATTGTGAACACTATATATATATCCTGTTTGTCACTGATATAGCCTACATGCGTAACGCCCTCACCATTATTAGTTTTTTGGTGCGAACCGTCCTTCACTGTCTCTCTCTTTTTTTTTTTATATCCAATTTTGTTCTCACAGATTAGCAAGCATAATGGCACTTGCAATGCCAATGATTATAAGTTAAAATCTTAGAGAATGCGTGTAATTTAAAGTGCCCCTAATATGTTATTTTACAGGTTACTCGTTTTGTTTTGGAGTCTCATGGTAGGTTTACAAAAAGGTAAAAAAAAAACTTTAATTTTCTCATAATACACATTGCAACTTCAGCTTCTCTCTAAACCCCGCCTTTCCGTTAGCTTCCTCTGCTCTGATTGGTCTGAATTAGGGGTGTGACGGTTATTATATAACCGTGAGACCGACGGTTATAGTTGAACACCGTCATTAGAACTATAACCGCCAAAACCGTGCTATTAAAATATTTTTTACAAACATTTTTTATCATAGAGAATGTTTAAATACTAATATCAGCTTAAGAGGGAAACGGAGGCTGTTACTGCTGGAGATGATTCGGGAGAGGTCTGTGCACCTTTACCGATCAGAGCGCGCGCTGACACGGAGTAAAGCCTTGTTTATATTCGACGCGTCCGCACGATCGCGAAGGTGCGCGCGGCAAAAATGACGCGTTCGGTGCGCAAGACCGGCAAGACCCCATTTGGCTTGGCTGTGTGTTAATATCTATGGGCTGTGTGCACGGCTTTTTTTTTGTAACAGCGCGCGCGGCGCCGCGTCCGAATCGTAGACTTCAAGCCGAATCTGCCCGAGCATGCACGTCTCACCGCACCGGCACGCAGTTTGCGCGTCTAAATTGCAAAGTTCATTCCAAAGTTTTTTCGTTAAGGTTTTGTTACTGTGTGTGACTTATTATAAAAAAAAAAAAAGCACGTTCATTGCAACATTTGTTTGTTTTGTTAGTTAAGGATTTGTGTAGGCCTACTGTGTGATACATTTAATGGAAAGCACATTCACTTCTAGTTGTCTTGCTGTTCATGTTAAATAAACGTAGAGCCAGTAGCTAATCAGTGTCTGCTTGTTTATTCAAACTAAGTTGTCCTATAACAGACGAACAGTTATTCAAGTTATTATTATGTTATGAACCGTCACATTTGACTCACGGCATAACCGTCATCACCAATTCTGAAACCGACACACCCCTAGTCTGAATGCAGGTCTATGGTCACCACCTCAAAGAACATTCACAGAGAAGTCCAAATTAAACATGATTTAATGACTCGTAAATGTAAGCACACATTGATGGCCTAAGACACGAAACGAGCGGTTTGTGTGAGAAAACGAACAGTATTTATATCGTTTTTACCTCTTGTAATCACAGTCACGTCCAAGTACTCTGATGGCACGCGTGTACGTCACTCATTGTTTACACAGAGATTTCGGACGTAAAATCTCTCTTTTTTTCTAATTTCTTTCCGAAATCGTCTTCCATTGCGATTTCCTGTATATCTAAATATGTTTAGATCTTCACAGTGAAAGGTAAAACGTCCGAAATCTCTGTGTAAACAATGAGTGACGTACACGCGCGAGAGATCACTGCCGCCGCTTTCCGGAAAAGACCGAATCGCCGGCGCCCTCAGATCACTTGGACGTGGCTATGTTTACAAAAGGTAAAAACGATATAAATACTGTTCGTTTTCTCACACAAACCGCTCGTTTCGTGTCTTAGGCCATCAATGTGTACTTACATTTACGAGTCATTAAATCATGTTTAATTTGGACTTCTCTGTGCATGCTCTTTGAGGTGGTGACCATAGACCTGCATTATATGACTGACAGACAAGAACGGTTTGACCTAAAAATATCAAAATTGAAACTACTGCGGAAACAAAGACACCTACATCTTGGATGCCCTTGAGGTAACCTAAAACATATCAAAAATTAATTTTAAAGTGAACTATCCCTTTAAAGGGATAGTTCACCCCAAAAATGTAAACTCTGTCAGTAATTACTCTCCCTCATGTTGTTTAACCCCGTAAGACTTTCGTTCGTCTTCGGGACACAAATGAAGATATTTTTTATTAAATCTGAGAGCTGAATCACTCCTCCATAGCCTCCTTAAGGGATCGAAACTGGCCGGCACAAAAGTTATTAAAGACATCGTTAAAATAGTCCGAGTGACTACAGTGGCTCAACCCAAGTGTAACAGCGCAGCGCTTCTGGGTTGTACGTCACACGCTGGCTCACTATTGGCTTAAGGTTGAGCCACTGTAGTCACTCGGACTATTTTAACGATGTCTTTAATAACTTTTCTGGGCGGGCAAGTTTCAATCCCTTAGAAGCCTATGGAGGAGTGATCCAGCTCTCAGATTTAATCACAAATATCTTCATTTGTGTTTCGAAGATGAACGAAAGTCTTACGGGGTTGAACAACATGAGGGTGAGTAAAAGGTAACTTTCCATTTTTGCTTGAACTATCCCTTTAAAGTCGGCATGAAATCAAATTTGACAAATCTTCTTTTTATATGTAATATTGTAGTGTTTATTATAAATGATTTATCTGTGCACTTCATTATTTTTTTAAAATTCATGTACCCTTATAATCTTTAATCAAATACATTACCCTTCCCTCCCCCCTCGAAACGCCCTCTCTTCTCTTTCGGTCACGTGCAATGGCGAAAGGGTGCGGCCAGAGCCGATGAGGGTGCGGCTATCGGTGCACCGCCTCTCAGAGAAGATACATTCAAATCTGCCTCCATTTTGTGTGCAACGCCCAACCTCCAACGATCCAATCAATTCCCGAAGGACAAAATCAAGCCCCGCCCTACATTTTTTTTCTAATTTCAGAAGCCGTTTCACTCGGATATACGTCACAACAGGGAAAAAACGACAATCTCAACTTCCGTTTCATGCCGACTTTAAACGTAAATGTGAAAATGGAAAAGAGAATTGGGTGGAGGGGAAGATTTTCAGCGAGTCCCGGCTGAAGTTTTAGTCGGTTCCTGGTATGGTTTCAGAAAGTTCCCCTGGATGCGAGTCGTGTGTTTAGTTGAAGCTCGACGATATGAAACTGCTCTTATCCAGCTGTGTTTCTGCATGTGGAGAGCTCTTAGTCTCACTGAGCACAGCTTTACACCACTCCTCCACTTCACTGATGCAGTATTACAGTCTCGATTTGTGTGTAGAGAAAGGGAGAGATAAAAACACTGTCATAGTATGAGGTCCTTTATTTAAGTTTGAAGTTATATGGAGACATTTTTAGTTGTTTTTTTCCACTGTAAATTACTTTTTACTCATAAAAACAGCATAAAACATTATTAGTTAACACTTTAGTTTAGGGTCCAATTCTCACTATTAACTAGTGTCTTATTATCATGCATATTACTAGATATTGGCTGTTTATTAGTACTTATAAAGCACATATTAATGTCTTAATATTCATGACCATATTCTACATTCAGAAATCTACACCTAAACTTAACAACTACCTTACTAACTCTATTAATAAACAGTAATTAGGAGTTTATTGAGGCAAAAGTTGTAGTTAATAGTTGGTTAATAGTGAGAATTGGACCCTGGAATAAAGTGTGACCCATTGTGATATTACATTGTAATTATATATGTTTATATTTTTATATTATATGTTTGTTCTATACATAATTTATATATAAATGTTAGCGGTGTAACAATATATCATGTCTCAATATA